AGTGCATATGCTTGGCTATGCCGGGATTCGGACCCAAGATGTCTAGACGAGTGTGTAGCCACTACTCCTTTGGGTCAAGCTGGGCACACATAAATTACCAACCCTGAACGGGCGAATGTGTTCACACTGGTGCCTAACAATATGAGTATACATGTACAGTCGCACCTCTGTCCGGCAGATCGTTAGACGGAGGTTTTACTGCTGGTTGCTCCTCGCTTAGTAGAACTATGGAGAATTTCCCATTTTTATTATTTAGTTTTGTTGGTTCTTGAGAATAAAAGTTCGTCGCATAAGGAAGTAGCCTCTTCAAAGGGGCTCTACAAGGGGGAATATTTTCGCACTCTGAGAACCCACTTCATAGTAAGGGGAGTTGCCTTATGCTGGTCCTTGACCTGCGCTTGATGGTGGAAAGTATACCTTTGTTTGCTGGATTTGTCTACAGCTACCTTGATTACGAAATCACTTAGGGAAACTAAATACAGTTTGAGCTCTTCACAGAATAGGGCTTAAATGTAAACTGATAGAAAACGAACTTCATACTGGTCTGGCATCTTTTTTCGGAATGGCCTGTCGCAACATTCTATCTCGATTGGTACCTGTAAACATATTTGATATGGCTGACACTCAAGCGCCGGTGAAGCCAACTGAACGCCCTGTAACGGTTGCAGATTCAAGGCCTTAAGAAGGGAGGGCGAACAGGAAGGGAACTTCTGGAGTCATATGTGGACTCAACTGGTGGCCCACATTTGCCAACTCAAGTAAGGATAGCTGGACGTTCGAGACCCATAGTATACGTGAAGGATGATCCGTGGCCCGCACATTTCATAAGGCGTACCTAAAATACACGCATATTGTCAGCGTTCCCTAGTTAGCGATCATATGAGTCTGTCCCCTAGAATACAGTGCCTGCCATTTAGATTGATTTATATGTATACATTAGTGACGTAATACCTTGCTTACTGGGCTCCGGCTCATGAGCTTCCTTTCGCTTTTCCAACCGCAGAAATTGTCGTAAACACCTACTTTCTGAGATTCACTGTCTGCTGATACTTCCATAGCGTGCATACAACAGTCCGACAAAAGTTTCAAAATTCACCTCTACGCTGAAGACACCGGAAATTCCAGGGTGCTGAGGAAGATTATTGAGACCTACATAAAGAAGACCCAAAATCCACTAAATGCTTGCATATGGGCATTAATTCAGTTTTGGAAGAAGGCTCAGTTAAACCCACCTGAGCCTCTTCTTTATAATAGTTATCTTTAACGGAGCGGGTCGCACAAGGTCGTCCCATGTTTTGGTTGGTACGATATTCGAAGTATCTCAGCACACTGTCTAGACGTAATACTACTTTTCGACAGCCCATAAGGTCGACGGAAACTCGGGGAGTGCACTTGCCTGTGGAGCTTCAAAAGGGTGAAACCGGTCGTGAGCTGTCGAAGAGTATTCAGCGTCGTTGTGAGCAGTGTTTGCTTCTAGACAGCTTAAAATCGTATTCGTTACAATATACCAAATAGAAGCTAGTACAAAACAATACAACATGGTGACATACACACTACGTAAAAGGAGATTAGCAATGAAAACACCGAGATAACTCAAAAACTGCGACCAGGGCTTGCATTTATGAAGTGTAAATCTGAACTGTATACACACTTGCGGACTCCCTTAATGGTTTTTGCGACAATGGATTGTACGCAAGGGCTTTAATACAGCTTGAAATACACGTTTTACCGAAACCCGAGCGGTATCAAGTAATGCGTACGCAATCGACTCCTAAAACCCTGCTTTGGTATAATGCCATGGTTACCATCGTTCAACTGTAGAGCCCTTTCGATGCCTTGCTTCCACGGACTTTCTGATCCTTAGGCTGGGACCTTAACCACTGAGCCATCTTCAGCTCCGTGGGTTACCGTACACCATTGAGAACAGCCCCCCCCCCTCACCAGGACGGCTGCTTCTATGATCCTCCTGTTGTACTCAATCTTTGAACTACTTGAGCTGCGGCTAGTAATATAAATTTTTCTCTGAAGCAGAAGAGGAATGGGCTGGTGAGAAACACTTCGTGCCATCACCTCAAAACTGAATACGATAGGTAATTGAAAGCTAAGTATGGATATAGCCTTGGTAGCTGAACACTTCAAGGACACGTTCAAAGTCACCTGGTCAGGGCCATGGTGAGGTGAGCTTGGACACCGGCGTAGCTGCCGGCATTTGAACAAGTGTTTTGATTGTGAGAAAACCCAGTTTAGTTTACACGGCAGACTGTCAAACGAACTACTAGGATTCGATATATGACCCGCCTAAATCAGGCTTCTGGCAGTTGACGAAAGTGGCTATCTGTTTACACTGTGTAACATCCCCTGAAATGTTTTTTCACTGAGATCTGGAAGTACTCATCGAAAGGCACCACCGTATTCTGTATGTTCATTTGTTCCTGCAGCTTCAGGTGAGCTGCTAACTAACGTATAGAACGCATCGTTTACCAGGCCTATGTGCTCTTTTTCTGAAAAAAAATGCCGGAGTCAGAAACAAGAGATATAATTCGACCACTGTATGGCATTGAAGCATCGATGTTGAACACTGACTTCGTACTGTCGATGATGATGTTGATGATGATGATGATGATGATGATGATGATGATGATGTATTTGACCGCCAGATAAGTGTACTGCAGTCCAGGTGCTATTTTTGAGCAGACACCAGTTGTTGAGTGATAACTTTTGAATGGAAGTGTAAACAAGTTTAGGTTTTTTTATTTTGTCTTTGGTACTGTTGGATTTAGCTGCGAAATTGATCAGATGTTCATTCACCAAAAACATTTGTGTCAAAACACTTCTCTTTGAATGCGGTCTTTGGTAGAAATGTTCTTTAAAGGCGAACCTTTCGTGAACACCAATAAAGTATCTAAGGATGGTTTGAGATTCTCATATCTTCAATGTGGGGGACAAACTAAAATGTGTCATGTGAACTGCGGATACCTTGAGTCGTCTCTGATACGTCACATAACTTAGTCACGTCAGTCTAGAACGGTCGATGTCGTTCGAAGTGAAAAGATTTCAGTCGTTTTGTGCCTGCGGTGGAGCCAATGAAACTGATTTTAAGTTGCACAATGAAAGATGAGTTCCCGCCTAGTGGACTCTTTCACAGACAAATAGATGCACTGATCATGAGTTATCCACTTGGTCGAACGCCAGAAGATGTATTCATGACCCAATAGGAAAGAACGATACTAGCTAGCACACCAGAACGGTTTTATCATTTTGGCAGAAACTTACATACTGTGTGATAATTCTGTTGATTCAACCCCACTTCTGGATGTTTTCAGCGGGACCTATCCAGGCATACATTTTTCACAAGAAAAGGAACTTGAAAACCAGCTACCTTTTTTCGAGCGTAAGACAATGCGCACATCCGAAACCAGCAAATTTTCGCACAGTTTCCTTCTCATGTTCAGACGTTATTATGTGGACTGCCCCCGTGATGCAGCGGTAGGAATCTGCTCGTCAAAACTGTGACGAGAACGTGGAATTATTTTAAAAATATATTTTTAAAAAGTGCCTACCCAGAAGCATCTCCAAGTATGCACCTCAGACTAAAACCTCTCAAAGAGGCTATAGGCAAAGCAAGATACAAATCACTTTAAGTCTGCCTTCCAGGGATAAGTTCTTTAGTCCGACCAACTCATTTGTCTGCTCCTGTGGCAACAGTTACACTTGTAGTACGGAAAACCAAACGAACAAGACAGCCCAACCAACTATTAAGCACGGTGAGTTCATCCCAGAACATGTTAGTTCTCACTGCCTTGTTCAGACTGATGTTTTGAACAAGGCAATTGCCAAAGCCTGTTTTGGAACTTGTTTCTTATGTAATGCGGAACAGAAAACGATGCAAAGTAAATAGATCCGTTGTTGATGGACACCCAAAACATGATTTACGTTTCAACTGCTTTTGGACCATTTTGTGGATTACCAACTGGGATACCAAAATGTTTAAGAATTCTGCTTATTTCTCTTGTAACAGTTATTCCTATTTGTATTTCCATACCCGGGCTTTGCATACAAAGACATTTTATTCAGAATCTAGGGCTCGGTTTGCGAGATGGTCACCTGTCAGCTTCACGTGACTCACCAAATTTACATTAGCCTTTTCGGTCCCAAACACTGGTAATGATTATCGGTTTAAAACAGTTCTAAGTTTACTCCCCATTTTGTCCATTTTGTTCAATTTTTACGTATACTTTTGAACCTGACGAATAAACATCCGAGAGAGAGAGAGAGAACAGAGAACATTATACCCGATGTGAAATATTCCGGACAAATGTCTTCCTAGAGTCCGCTGACTCATTAGGGGGGCATATAATTGCTGTCACAACTCTGCAGGTTAGCATCCTGAAGTCTTGCAAATCTGCATCCGTTTGACTGACTACTGCTCGAAACTCATGACGGCTACATAGTATGGGCACTGTTGTGGACATCCCCGGCAGCGTGAATGACAGGGGCCGATTTTAAATGCTTGATCACGAGTCTCCGGCTAATGGTCATCTAAATACGAATTTGAGACGTTTAACCAATCTACTCTATTACTAGCATTGGCGGGGAGTCTGTCAGTTATCGTACAGAACTCACGTTAGAATAAGCCTCTCAGTCTCCTTCTTGATTGAGTTTAAAATTGGATCGAAAGCCGACCTGGGCATATTTCTCATTGGCAATGTTCACCAACCAACTCTGCTCAGTACGAAGACTGTCTGAAGCCTCATTTTGACTAAATGCACAGGAAAGTTTTTCCTCAGCTACAGGAAAAAAGAACAGATGAGGATTCGTAGCCACTTGTTTGCGTACATACTGATACATGAATATACCGGATTTGGTTTTATTAGGAATTCGAAACATCTCACTGAGGAGAAAAAGGTCATTTAAAGTCCACGTGATCAGGCTCCTTAGACTGTTATGGATCACTATGTCTGATGCAGAAGTGGACATACATTGTTACTAGTGTCCAGCTGTCACACCAAATGATTTCGAATAAAATCCAAGTTGGTCATCACACTGGAAAACACAACCCATCCATATCCGGAAATCGACGTCACTCCGATCACATGTCCACTCTGATCGACCACGGGACCACCGCTATCACCAACCTCCGGAGTTTGGGAGTTGGTGTTCTCATTGGCGCAGAGAGCACCTGTGGTGTTGATTTGTATATCCCGCGGACACGGAGTAATGTCGACAAAACCTGAAATTCGGAAGTAAGTTGGTTGAAATTAATCAACAGAACCTACCAAATCGAAGTAAACCTGTTGTTTCAGTTGAGGGATCCCGACCGAATCCAAGAACCAATGAGTTTGGAGTGACTAGACCGTGAAGCAATTTTTCACGTTCCTCTTCCGTTGGATGTAACATGAGACGGCTTAGTTCAATGAAACCACGCTTCAAATGGAACGGTCTATCTGTGCACAGAATCGCAATGTCTGTTGCCCCACCCAACCCTATCGGATCTTCATCCTCCCCGTCTGACAACTTTTTGCATGCGGAGGTGTAAGACTCGGGATAGGATGCATCCACTATCGAGCGGAGTTGTACAGTATCGCTGTTACGTTGATCAAGGTCGGTAATATTGGCGTAGGCCTGCAAAGAACGGCATATATATGTGTAGTATATATATACATTATATTCATGCATACATACATTCATATATATATCGCACATCATAGCTCTAAGCTAGTCATTCATGACCAGTTATTTGTTGAAATCCACATAATCAATGCTTCACTCTCCGTTTTATTATTTTCCAATAATTTTATGGAAATTGAATTCGTTGTTTCCGGTATGCGTCTAGCCTGTTCTATTGGCTTCCTCGTCACCTAGTGCGACAAACTGGGCACTAATTTTCTGTCACATCCGCTTGGCTGCACAGTGTATTTGAGTCGGATAAACTCGCTCCCAACGGCTCAATTCAGCAACGGAGCTAGTGCGGGTTTCTGTCCATGCAGGCCGACTTCTTAGTGATCCCTGAGGGGTCATGAAATACGACTGTCACTCTTGAGACAGTTAGTGGCTCATGTTTGTGCAAACCTAATCGAAATTTTTGTAATGTATTACTCATAAGGTTGCTGACCGTTTTCGCCCTTTTTGGGGCTCGTCAGGTAGGCGCAGTCCCCGGATTTCCGTCAACCTTATGTTCTACTTGAAACCAAATTGCACGAAATTAGCGAATATACACTCATTTGCAAACTAATTTGGTTTTTGTTTGACTATTTGATTATTGTGAACTATTTGTGGAATTCTGCAGTACTTATGCAAACTGCAAAAGCAATAATGGTTCCCATGTGATACAGACTCGCTGGTGTACTTTCATTTTAAGCTTCGTCCTGTAAGTGAAGCCAGTATATGGAGATATACTGTATAGTTGTTTCTTCCTGGAATCACCAATAGTACGCATCTCTAGAAACTCATAGGGATTCGAACCGGCAGCCTATCGGCTAGTGGCTGAACCCGTTCGACCACGACCGGCACTGTGATTCCCTCGCGCTTAGACAAGATGTGGCGTCATTCCTCCTTTTATCACGGAATCCACATCAAGTGTTTGCATTTTGCCTGACTGCTCGACTGACGGCTCAGAGCTACTATTAGTTCATTAGTAGCATAAAACTTGGAGATTTTCACCGGTGCCGTTCATCTGTAGGGTGGTTCAGCGTAGATTGGTCTCACTCACAGGACGAAGTCTCCATTGAAATTTCCCAAATCTCTTCATCCCACCAAAAATATGGAACGTCTATGGAACGATGTTTTTTGTTGTTTTTCGCCAACCTCTTTATTTGGACCACATGTGTTTCCCCAACTTTTATCATTTTGTATCCCCCCCCTTGGATATCGCACCCAGAAGGCGAGCATGAAAAATTCCGCCGGCAATAGACAGCTGTCATCACATTCGTTCGGTCAACTGGGTGCCCATTTCTCATGGTTAGCCTCAACAACATAGTGGGTTGTGACAGATCGACATAGAAACGAGGTGATGGACCCCTTTGGAATTCGAACAGTTAATCCAAAAGGTCGGTGTCTACTGATGGTGCATGTCACTATACAACTCGGCATCACTTGTACGTTTCAGTGCTGGAAAAGCGACCGTCGTGACCTGGGTGTATCCAAAGAGCAGAATAAGACGACCCAGATTGGCGAGGATAGGACAAAACTTTGGAACAACTTACGCAGAATTGAGAGGGCTAAAAGTAGCCAAATGATCACAAGAAATTCTTGGGAGCATTGAAATAGATCTGCGAACAGAAAGTGAATCCATTAAACCCAGACCGGCCAAAAGCACAATGGGTCTGAGGACACATCGACTTCTTGGAAGGCATGCTTCTCAATAAACTCTCCAACCCAGATTCACACTGTCTTACACAATTACTCTAGTGAAAATGGACTATTCTAGCCAGTCTACGAAGGCTGTACTTCAAAGGGCGATCGCTAGACTACGTAATTGGAACTCTACCGGAGAAGACGTATTATCCGCCAAAACTGTTCAACTTGAGTAGGTGAACATTAAACTAGAAAAATTTCCACCCAATCTGACAGACCGAAAGCACCCACGAAGATTCAAGGACGAATCAGTCGTAACCCTGATGGAAAGAACAGAGCAACCGACGAAAGCGGAAAATTATCAAAGAATCACTTTCCTCTGAGCTGCGAGTAAACTCTTGGCACACATCTTGCTCGACCGCCTCGACGCTGATATATTGGATGCGTTGCAAGATGGATTTCGAGGCGGACGGAGCAACACTGACTCTAATTCTGCAGCGCGTCAATCATGAGCAAAATTATCGCGAATGGAACCAAACGGCATGTGCTTTGTTCACAGACGTCGTGAAAGTCTTAGAATGTGTGGATCATTGTGATTCGTACTCAAAAAGCTCTACTGACCTGAAGGAACTGTTGACATTTGCACATTCCTGCATTTTGGTATGACTATCCGAGCAGATGCGTGTTGAACCACCTCTACTGAGTTCGAAACCAGTATGGGGATGAATCTAGTCTACATTCGGGCTTTAACTTTTCTCAGTCTGCATACAGAAGCATTTTGTTATCCCGAAGAAAGGCCACAGATTCGGTTCTGTCTAGAGGATTGCATTTTCAAGCGAAAACGTTTCATGGTCAAAACAAGGCTGCATAGGCAAGGATGTGATTGTGATTTTTGCTGCAAATCCGAGGGGGAAATAGCAGCTACCGCCCAGAGCATATATTTTGACGGCAACTAGTTTTGGTAGAGAGATAAGTGCTTCCAAAGTACTTGTTTCTATCAGCCTTTTCTCTGGATGGGGGGGGGTGGGGGAACGACAGGTATCATGCACTCGTTTTCATGGCCACAGTATAGGGCGTTTGGAAAATTTCTTATCCTCCGACAGCGTATTGGCCGCAGACTTGATAATCGCTAGTGAAATGCATGCTGTAGTTGCCAAATTAAGCATTTCTTTCGGTCCACTATATGAAAGCATTTGGAACACACCTGGATATCAAGCTGGTGGGGTGCTGAGCTATCGCGCTGTCTTCACCACGGTATGACCGAAAAATCAATACTGTACCGGTGGCACATTCGAATCCCCAACAAATTTAATTTACGGTGTCTGAGAAGGATGAATTGAGTGCAGCGGCCAGAATGAATTCCGAACACTTAAGTTCTTGAACGAGCTAAGATCAACTGGAAGCAGTGCGCCTTGATGCACAAGTGTCGCATTGAAAAGGGCCAGGTAAAACGAATGGACGATACTCTCATTCAGATGCAGCTTATTTAAGGACATTTAGAGAATACAGCTTGGACTCGGGGACGGTCGAATTCGCACCTCTGGGACAGCTACCAGGCAAGTTGTGAAGACTGTACTCTTGAATTCAGATCTTGGAACCGATTGTCAGTAAATCCAACATTTGGTAGGTATCTTCTGGCTCACGGTGCACAACAGAAGCCTGACCAGTTGTGGCATGGCTATCATAGTGCATCGACTGTGAATTGTAATTCCTATTTCCCGGAGGATACTTCTTATCAGAACAACAGTTATGACAGTTTCACTGTAAAGTTTGCAGATGCTACTCCTAAGACATTGGTTCAAGCCGGATCCTATGGTACCATACAAGTTTGGTCGCAGTTTGGTGTGATCTGCATCATGGGAACTCTTAGAAACTTATGTAGCAGAAACTTCACTTTGGAACAGCACTTCTTTACTTATCCCCCATAGAAGTCCCTTGGAGAGAGGCCAATTCTGGGGAGAGTTCATGGCAGTCATTCCTAGAGGGACCACACCCATCTCTCTCTCTCACTCTCTGTGAAGAAATTTTACACCCAAATAAAGACTGTGACCCACGTGATCCGCTGGTTGCATTTCAAACCTCGGGTTGCAATTCAGGACAACTGTAGTCAGACGGATAACATCTTGACTGCTTGAAATTTTGTTGAACTGTCTGGGAAAATTTAGACTGAGACTCTGAAGGCAGAACCCATCAGCGAACGATGGAAAAAATACAAGGAGTTCTTAGGCAAGACGATAGGGATTATTGTACTCACAATTTCGCACAGCAGTGAACGGACACATCTAGACACCGTGGAGAAGTAGGACACCGTCAGGAGGATTGTCCCAGCATCCGCCGCAAACCTGACCTAGTATAGGGGGACAGACGAACGTTATTTTGCGGTCTGGAGATATGTAGACAAGTGGAATCCAGCATGTGTTTTGTACTTTGGGGTTTTCAGTCACGCGCAAGTGGGATCTCTTGGATCCTAGCCAAAAAGACGTGCTAATCCTATGACCGTCAGTTTGAGAACCGCAGCTTTCATTTCGCCTTGCTACATCATCGCAAACTCATCGGTAAATTATTATCACCGCGGGTTTAGAATGAAAAAAAAACGATTATTTGCGTGACAGATACTATCACTCTTAGTTGCTACTATACTCTGCTCTAATCTACCTTGTTGTGGTTTACTTAACACTTCATTGCGAACAGCCTACATACAGTTAACACTCGCTGTGCAGAGAAAACATTGGCGATCATGTTTGGAGACAGTATAAAAGTAGATAACATTTCACTACTGGTGAATTTTGGTATAATTGTCTGTTGTAAGACTGAAGTTCATCTAGGATTGAGCTTCTGGACTCGTAAATCTTGTAGTGAAAAATATAGAAAATATGGCCGTTAAACTATTTTGGGGGTGATTTTTGGGTGAAGTTTCAGTTTAGACGAGACAGGATCTGGACGGAGATTCCGACAACTGTGTTTCAAAGACTGAGGTAACAAGTAAGAGACCATAGCCTAAATAATACGTGCTATCCCAGCCATTGAGGAACTCAAACGGTTTGAGTCAGTAGCAGCCGCGACTTGTGCTTAAGAGTAGAGTTATTCTGTGTGTTCAAGTATGTTTGAATCGGACGATACACCCAGGGAAGACCTATGAATCCTTATGAAGACTCCCACGGTGTTTACAGTCTCATCACAGGCTAGTAATAGACCTTGTGCGTTATCCTCCTGGAGAGCTTATCCCATTAGAGAACAAAAACGTCCCTTTCTCTGAGGTGGTCAAGGCGATCATCGAAACCGAAATTCCCCTCAGTAACCTACCCGTGTCATTGGATCTCCGCAGGCACAATGCCCAGCCGTCAGTATTTTATCCGGTGCAACCAGAGTGCCCGTACATCTGTGCGTGTCTCCGGTCAACAGAACAATACTCGGGAACTCTCCGACTTCAGCCACGTAGCCATTTTGGATGCGATATTCCAACAATCCCAAGCCGGAAATCAACTGAGGCCAGAATACGATGGTCCACAAGCTTGGGTTGATTCGCATGATGTGAAAAATAGACTAGTGAATGTATTCGAGTGCATACGGCGTTAGCAGTCATGTGCTGACTGGCGATCTATATGGTTCGGCGGGCATCGTATTGATGGTCTTTCATCAGCTGACTGGTGTGTGAAATCCACTTTAGTTTCTCACAGTGCTGCCGGAACAGAGAACTCAAACTTATTTATCAATGGTCGCATTTCACCACTTGTGATCAGAAATGTTTCTTAGTCTTAGATACGAATTGGTGATCTTGGAAGTCCTCGTTTACTTGTTACAGGTGAGAGATGAATTATGGGCTACTGGCGTGGCGATTTGATTTATTCGTCTGCAAAAATAAAGACCACAGTTTTGTAACTTTATTCGCTTTGAATGACCGTGGTAAGCAAAAGGAAGTGCATTGTTCTAGTCCCGTGACCGTTTGGTGACGTTTGGCTTTTTGGATGGTTCATCCATTATTGTTTGATAAGCTTGATCTCACCGAAAAATTAGCTGGCAAAATAGGTTAACTATACCCTCAGATCTAAGGCTGTCCCTGTAGCAGTCACATCTTTGATACGACAGTTTTGTCGTGCATATGATCCACACTAGATGATGATTCCTCTTAAATACGCCAAATTTGCTTGTTTCTAAAGCCATAACTACAGAGAGTCCAATGACATCATTTTCATTCCGTGTTATTCAATAAGTTCGGTTACGGGCATCCTAGAGATGTGGGAAGATGACAATAACATCTGAGCGCGGGAGTCAGAGCAGTCTGTCTAAGGATAAGACTGCACTGTCCATCCATGGATCCTGTTGATATTAATGTCAGCTCAATGGCCAAAAGTGTGATTGCCATTATTGGAGGTAATATCGTACATAAACGTTTCCCCCCACGAAGGAAGTGTTTGAACGGCTGAAAATACCCCCCTTTTGTGCTCCATCGTTGTTACCAAGTAGTGTGATTTGGAGGAAGCTCGCAGCTGTCTTTGTTCCTCGTAGGGTGTGCTGTAGCAACCAACCGTCGTCTTACATTCCTAGACCAAAACTGTAGGACAACCCATGTTTTTCATCGTAACTTCATCAACAGTCAATCGGATTGGATGACTTTTGTTTACCGAACCACAAATTCAGTTATAAATCAGCTTGTGACTTTAAGAGAATATTTTATTGACTAACAAAAAAGTGAAAAATAGCTGCGGCAAAATTTTTAGACCACTCGGTGGTTTTTCTCGGCTGGTTCGCCTCAACATGTTCGTCAGTCACTCCGCTGCATTTTTTTCTCAATGCACGGATGGAAAGTTTACTGACACCTCCCCATTCCTGCTATAGNCTACAGAAGGTGTCAAAGATGCCTTTTGGAGGGTCGCAACGGTTTGCGCCTTTTTAGAGCACTTTAGACGGTCGTCGCTATCCGAGTTTAGCAAGGTTTGATTAGTTTCGCTGTTTGACCAAGTGAGACAAAAACTTTCTTCTAGGTCACCTGTTTTACTGTTACTTTCTAAATCAAGTAATCTTTAGGAGTTTTAGAACACTTTAGACGGTCGTCGCTATCAGAGTTTAGCAACGCTTGATTACTTTCGCTGTTTGACCAACTGAGACAAAAACTTTCTTCTAGGCCACCTGTTTTACTGTTACTTCTAAATCAAGTAATCTTTAGGAGTTTTGTAGTTTCATTTCGACATCCTTTGATGAAGCCACCAAACAACATTAGAGATGTGTAATCTTTGACAGCGACTTAAATACCTTTCCCGTTTGAGACTTCAACATTATCGGTGTCGAAATTCCGGCTGATGCCACCCGAACACAGTAAGATTGCTCAGCACGCCAAACACAAACAAACGTGTTTGGTGATCGCGCGAAACTGGCGCTAAATCGCATCACGATGTGTCAACACTATCGGTGTCGATATTCCGGCTGACGCCACCCGAACACAGTAAGGTTGCTCAGCACGCCAAACAAACACAATCGTGTTTGATGATCGCGTGAAACTGGCGCTAAATCGCATCACGATGTGCTTTGGTCCGTTTCGGCCCACAGACTTGTAATCCAATGCTTACAGGAACACAGGCAACGACTCAGCGTGCAACACTCACTGTAGAGGTCCACTGTTTTGGCAACTAGTCGGCCACACAGTGACCACACTGCCTCTGAATGACACTCTGTTGGACATCATCGATTGAGAACAAAACATGCTGAGTACGAATTGACGTAAAGGCATCATAAATTGTGTCAAGTTCGTGCGTGAGTTCTCATCATCCGCCTGTCTGTTCAAGGGACTAGTCCAAAGATACGATTGCTGCACGTGACAAACGGAAAAAGAATTGGCTAACCCACTAAGCCATACGCCCGTGACTGCTTCACTAGAGATAGTGCTGAAGACTGAACTAACCCTTGGTGGCGGCAAGGGTTACGGGGTTTTCAAAGTTTTGCAGGAACCGTCATTATCAGGCTATCGCCCAGTTTTACAGGATCTCTCTAAGGTGGTGGCACTGTGGTGAGGCTGGCTATAAATAACACAGCTCTGTGCAAAACAGCTCCTGAGTAATGCACACACAGCGATTCATTTATAAGACAATCTTGATTAGTCTTCCCGACATGGCTACCTATTGTGATCGCACTGTTTTTCATCTCATGAGCGGGTACGTGCCTCTCTCTCAAAAGGCTTGGTGGGTGAGATGACAAGGACGGTGACAACGGCGGCGATGCTGGCGACAAAGGTGAGGTCGGTTGAGAATTAAGCTGCGCACGCGTGTCGGAAAAACCCACCGCATGTGGACAGTTTCCAGATGTGCCTGACAAACACGGGTGACCGGTGTCGGATTAAGGGGAGGGGGACATGACTTGTGATATGCGCTTTTCTACTAGGAAGGCGCCAAGATGGCATCCGTTTACAGGTGTGTTTGAGTGTGGAATTATCCCCAAGTTGGTATAGTCTCCTCCCATCCCCTTTATGAAAAACATATATTTATGATAAAATTGACTTTTCATCAGTTATTCTAGTCGGACTGGGTAAAATGATGTGTGTTCCTTTGTCACATGTACACGGTGAACTTGAAGGAGGTCGGTGACGCGTTCCATTCAGTTGCATTCCCGTAGCGGTAGATCCCTAAAACATTCAGAGCAGACGTAGTTGCTTTAAGAGCCCAAGCCCGACTTCGAACATGGTAATGCTGAACTACACGTGTTGTGAACATATACACCCGCACAATGTTAGCATAAAAAGTTACAAGATAGTCATGCACTTCCGTCAAGATGTATGGTTAGCGAACGCTAAATTTTACCCTTCAAAGTAGCATGTGTTTGTTCTCGATCACACTAGGAATGCCTGTTTTTCTCAGACGGGTTCCGAATGTGACGGTTATTCCGGGGTTTTGAGTGGTCCGCGCACAGTGATCTCTGTATGAATACAATACGAAGATTATATGGATTATTAAGGGGTTTTACCTGAAATTAAGGTGTATACCTGGGAACGAAGCAGGTTTGTTCAGTAAACATATGGTTTTCGAAGTTGAAATGCTTGCCCCCCCCCCTCCAAAAAAAGCAGACTGTAAGTCGAGGGAAAAACAAGATCGTCCTTATTAAGCGTGTTACAAGAACACAGAGAGCATAAGAGCAGACAACCGAAATAAACCAAACCAAACTAGTGCATCAGCACTGCGATTGACATCAGTCGTTTTACCCGACAGTTGCCCAGAAATCCGGGTTTATGATAGACGAAATCAGATTTTCCTTCTTTGCGAAAGATTATCCCTCTGAATCTCGAGGGTTCTTTTCTTGAGAAATGATCGTGGGACTAAAATTTCCGCGCCGCCTGGAGTCCTGGTGAAAGTGGTAATCAAGAAACTTCCAGCCCAAGTCATTTTGACCTCTTTGTTTCATTTCATCATTTTGTCTTTCTCTTTTCGCCGTTCATCCCGTTTGACTAAGTGTTGAAACAAAGCATGATCATCCTCATCAGTTTCCATCGAATAGCTCCAGAAACTTCTGTCGTTGGTTTAATGGTATCCCGTTCAAGCCACCCAGATTAAACTGCCCAGGGCAGCGACTTGCAGCTTATTTTGGCACTCACCTGTAAAACCGCAAAGAAATCTTAATAAACCAGCAATAGCTCTGTACATAGTGACCTGTTCCCTGATTTATCTGTTACATCAAACTACGCTAATGGACAGCCGTGCAAAATAGGTAGATCAAGTAGATCATAAGGTTGACGGAAACTCGGGGTCTGCGCCTACCTGATGAGCCCCAAGAAGGGCGAAACCGGTCGTGGGCTGTCGAAGAGTTTTCAGCAACCTTGCGAGTAGTTTACTGCGATATCTCGAATATCGTGCCAACTGGATCATGAGGTGGCCTGTGTGCTACACATTTAGTTGTAGAATATCATAAACGAGAGATTCAGTTGAGTCTCTCGTGAAAACCAAATTGATTTGCATGTACAATCATTTGTGATATGAACAAGGTAGAATATAAGCCACAACTGGAGCTTTCCTTGGACCAATGGTATTTCTACTGTGACAGCACGTGAGTCTCCAACCCAGCTACTGCACTGACTGGTAAACTTTAAATTAGATATATAACGCACATTCCCAATGTTTATTTTATCAGGAGGTTCCTTCTATCAATGGGGACTCTTAGACACCCGTTGTGACTGCAAAAAATACACGGGAACAAAATTCAATGGACATGCAGTTTGTTTTACATTAAGCGCTGCAACTCTTCAGCTTGTCTTCGGCAAATTCTACACGATAATTGTGATTCTCTGAGCAACAGAAGGGCTACAATGTGTTTCACTCCACATAAATCTTGTACCTAGCAAATGGGTGTTGTATGATGAGAATAGGCCAGATCATGATGGTCTTATTTGCTTGCTAGCACATGGGTAGCTGCATATTTTTCTGTCTAGAGAAAACGGCTAACGTGGTCCGTGGTTACGGACTTTCGGACAGGCGAGCAAAACTCTCATTTGCACCTTGTTTGTAAAACTGAGTATCCACCTTCTCCTTGAACGCGTCTTCCTGAACTTT